AACTCCTACTAACCTTAAATTCAGGGGTATCTCGAATCTTGATAAACTCTTTCCAGGCGTCTTCTGTAATAAAGTTATACTTGACATATGGAGGAGGATCATTTTCTATGGGATGATGAATATATCTATCTGTGAGTTGTGTCTTAAAACCTCTCCATCGCTCTCCCGCATATTTAATCCATTCTTTCTTCAACCTATCATTCTTTGGATCTTTACATTCTGGAATAGTAAAATGAGCCTACAAATGTAGTATATGTCATATGTTGTTAATTAGTATATGATTATAAAATATAATAAAGTATTGTATTTAAAATACCTGAATATCAGTCCAAATAGCATCTTTTACGCCTTTATCTACTTCTTTCTAATCATTTTTCACAATGCTACAATACTGTCGAGCAAGAGATGCTATATAACTCTTGAAATTTGTAGCATTTTTACCAACACCAATACATTCATAGGTTCTTGCATTAAAATCGACCTTTATCTTTTCACCTGTTTGATGAACTTTGTCAATTTGTGTCATTAAAGTGGGACCTCTAACTCTTCTTTTATTGGGGTTTGAATCACCCATGTATCTGTTTACACAAAACAAAAATAATTAGAAATAATATTAAGCACAAAATAAAAACAATTAGAAATAAAATTAAGCACAAAATAAAAACAATTAGAAAATAAAGTAACGTGGAATTAACTTATACAAAAAATCTTACTAGTCCTCCCATATCCCTTCTTCATGGTCCATGCGAATAGCATGCACATCATCCCCTTCATTTTCTTCAGTGAATGTAGTCACATTTGTTGAGAAAGGATGAGTTTCAGAAATATCAAGGTTCTCATCATGATTTTCGTCACTATCATGGACATTTCCTTGTAAAACCACTGACCACTTTTTATTAGAAGGATCTGTGACATAAAACACTTGTTTTGCTTGAGATGCCATGATGAATGGTTCGTTCGCATAAGCTAACTTGCTAAGATCAACCAGTGTAACTCCAAATTCATCGATTCTGACACCACTGTTGATATCAATCCATTTGCATTTAAATACAGGAACTTTAACACAACATAATTAACTTCCCAAATCTCTTCAATCACCCCAAAGTACGGTGTAGATGCCATAACCGGGTTTTTATCTTTAGCACTAGAGAAGTGCATGGACTCGGCCACAATCATTACCCCACTATTTTGCGTGGTACTACGGTCATCCTTTGACTTTGTATAAAAAGAGGTTTTATTAATATCATATCCACTCCAAGTTATTAGGTTACATTTAGGCCCATAAGACAACCACTTAATTGTATTAGAAACATTATCTTCATTAGCAATTCTTTCTTTAAACCACTCAGAGAAACTCTTATTATGCTCTTTTAACAACCCTCTTTCATTCATCTTGGGGTACTTTTTATTTACGATGCTTTTGTCAGCAGATAAGTAAGGTTGAACTTCATCTATGTTATTCAATATATACAAATGCGCTTGAACAACCACATCAATACTTAAGCTCTTGACTTTTAAACCTTGTGTACCCACACCCTCATATCTTCCATCATGACGAGACTTGGGAACCCCTACAGCATCCACTCCTGACAAATAGTTAGAACAAAACTCAATTGCTTCTTCTGCAATGTACCTCTCAATAATCGATGCTTCCGGACAGTGTGGGTTTTTTGTATACCCTTTTAGAATCTTCATGTATCGCTCTATTGGATACATCCACCGTAAAAAAACTGGACCACATAATCTAATCTCCCTTACTAGATGAACAATCAAGTGAACCATAATGTCAAAAAATGAAGGAGGAAAATACATCTCTAATTGGCACAAGATAACTGCAGCCTCATTTTCCAAATCGTCTAACTTTAGTGGATCAATGGTTTTACAACAAATTGCATTGAAAAATAAGCATAACCTAGTTATGGTCTTCCTTACGTTGTTAGGCAATATCCCATGAATAGCCAATGGTAGTAGTTGTTGCATTAAGACATGACAGTCGTGAGATTTTAAGCCAACTAATTTAAAATCTTTAACTGATACAAGCCTCTTGACATTTGATGAGTAACCATGCGGCACTTTGATACTTTGTAAACACTCACAAAAACTTGTTTTCTCTTTTTTAGACAAAGTGTAGCAGGCAGGAGGCAAATATGTCTTGTTACCTATATATTGTGGGGTTAACTCTTCTCGTATACCCGTCAAACCCAAATCTAGACGAGCATTAATACCATCTTTTGTCTTGCCTTGAATGTTGAGAAGTGTTCCGATTACACTATCGCATACATTTTTCTCCACATGCATCACATCAATACAATGTCTTACATCAAGACTAGACCAATATGGAAGATCGAAGAAAATCGATCTCTTTTTCCATACATTTTTCACAGTAGATCGTTTTTGGTACTTTCCAAAGATAACATCAAGTCCCTGTTGTCGCTGATAAACTTCCTCTCCAGACAAGGGCTTTGGAGCAACACCATGCTCTTGTTCCCCATTGAAAGCTTTCCGCAATCTACGATATGGATGATAACGTTTTAGAAATTTTCGATGCCCGAGATAAACTGTCTTCTTTCCTTTTTCAAGATGATGGTAACAAGTGTCTTTTTCACATATAGGACATGCATTATGCCCTTTAACTTTATACCCAGACAAATTACCATATGCCGGAAAATCATTGATGGTGCAAAACAACATGGCACGCATATTGAACTGTTCGCCAGAATACGCATCAAAAACATCCACCCCTTCCTCCCACAACACTCTTAAATCATCAATCAGTGGACTTAGATAAACATCTATGTCATTTCCTGGTTGTTTTGGGCCCGATATCATCATCGATAACATAATATATTTACGCTTCATGCACAGCCTAGGAGATAGGTTGTAAATCATTAAGAGAACAAGCCAAGAACTATGGTTAGTACTCAGATTACCGAACGGATTCATTCCATCAGTAGCAAGTCCAAGTCTAAGGTTTCTCGACTCTTTTCCAAAATTTGGAAACAAAGAATCTATTTTCTTCCATTGCAAAGAATCAGCTACATGACGAATTTGTCCATCATATTTTCTTTCTTCTGCATGCCATCTAAGATTCTTTGCGTCATCTGCATTGGCGAATAATCTATTGAACCTTGAAATTATTGGTAGGTACCATACCACTTTCGCAGGAGGACCCTTTTTTACCACCTCATCATCAATTGACTCGCCATCTTTCTTTTTGTAGCGTGAAGCCTTACACTTTGGACAATGATTATACTTTTCATACTCTTTTCTGTATAATATGCAATCATTAGGGCATGCGTGTATCTTTTCATACTCCAAACCCATTGGACACAATATTTTCTTCGCCTCGTAATAACGACTTGGCATTACATTACCTTCTGGAAGCATTTCGGTCAACAATTCAAGCAACTCGGTAAAACTTTTGTCAGTCCACCCATTCTTTGCCTTCAGATTAAATAATTTTAACACGGCTGACAGACGTGTAAATTTTTTGCATCCCGGGTACAATGGTTTATCCTTGTCATTGCATATAGTATCATACGTATGTGCCCTCTTAAACGAATCTTGTCCAATATCACGCATCATGTCTTTTAGACGATCATCCATTTCTACACTAACACCATCTCTTTGAGACACGTTTGACTTTGCTACTACTTCACCGTGCCATATCCATTTTGTATAACTTTGACAAATCCCTACACAAATTAGATGATCCATGATTTCTTTCTTACTACGTTTTGGTTCTTTATTTGCACAACGAATACATGGACAGAGAAAAAGCGTAGGAAGACTTTTGTCAGCATTACTTTCAGCAAACTGTAGAAATTCCATCACTCCATGTTCGTACTCGTAACTTAATCGATTAGCTCTCATCCAACTACGATCCATAACTATGTTCACATGGAGGAAGGTCTGACGAACGGTGTGTCCGCGGCTGTGCTACTTCACGGAGATTTCGAGATTGCAAGTTGCGCTGCTTCACGGAGAAAGACAAATAGAATCAAATTTCAATGGCAAGGTGATAACTCTATTAAGTTTGATAGGTTAAAGATAAACAATGTGTTTCTGAGAGGACCATTAATTCTTTTGTCATAGGTTTCTAAATTTTCCGCTTCTTTTATTTGGTGAGCATAAAAATAGGAGAAAGGGATTCAAATATAATAGTATAATAATAGTAACAATAATGGAACAAAGTATAAAACACACGAGTAACAAAGTGTAATTTATATGAGGCCAATGATTAAACTATTTTTGGCCAATGATTAAAATATGAGGCCACTTTGTTATTTTCAATTTTATCTTTTCTTCTTCAATTTTAACTCCTTTGATGTTTTAATCGTATTATATATATTTTTTTATTTCTTGTTAGTAATAATTTTTAAATCAGTATATATAAACACTACACTAACACAAAGACACTCTCTTAAATTTTTTTCAAAACCTTGTCCATATGTTTTTCTCAAACCATTGTTCTTAACAAATAAAATATCCAATTATTTTGAAAAAACACATTTCTCATTTAACAATTTATTACTAATTGTTATTATTTTTACACTTTGCACCACTAATACATAACTGATTCTCACTGGTTTCCTTTTCTAATAATTTCAAAACGATCACCATATATTCAATTTTTGTCTCAGAACCTGTAAATACTTAATAATATAACAATCTTCATGTTTCACTCTTCACCATCATGATCATGAAATTTCACACTGCACAAACACTAACATACACCATATTTTCTTGAAACAAGTAGCTTGTTGCATTAGTTAAAGTTACTAAGTTTAGTATCTATAAACATGTATAACTTTATCTTAAGGAAGAACCATAGAAATTTAAACTATCGTATACTAGCCAACTGCATAATATTGATATGTAATGTAACATAGCATAAATGCATAAAAATGCTGAAATTGTAATGAAAAAGAAAATGCAAAAAAGAAAAGAAATAGAATTAGAACAAACCCCAGAATGATTTGCAGAATGATTTGCAGAAGATGGTGGAAACAGTTGAAACGGCGACGAGGAAGCAGTTGAAACGGCGACGAAATCGGGCGGAATCGGGCAGCGACGGTGAGCCGTTGAAACAGCGAGGAACGGAGCGGAATCGGGCGGCGACGGTGAGGAACGGAGCAGAATCGGGCGGCGACGGTGAGGAACGGAGCGGAATCGGGCGTCGCGGAAGTGGTGTTGGCGGCGACGGTGTTGGCAGCGTCGTGGAAAATGGGTCGATAATGGCAGCGGCGACGGTCGTTGAAACGGCGAGGAATGGGTCGAAATGGAAAATGTACAGTTTTCACGTATAAATGAAAATAGTGTTTACACTTTTTTACATCGGTGGAAACCCCCACCGATATAAGGGGTTGGGCTATTACATCGGTGGAAACTCCCACCGATTTAATAGGTTGCTTTTTTTTTTTTAAAATACTTGTTAGGCTATTACATCGGTGGAAACTCCCACCGATTTAATAGGTTGCTTTTTTTTTTTTAAATACTTGTTAGGCTATTACATCGGTGGAAACTCCCACCGATTCAATAGGTTGCTTTTTTTTTTAACACGTGTTGGACTATTACATCGGTGGAAAGTCCGAATCGATGTAATAGCTTACCTTTTTTTTTTTTTTTACCCACGTTTTTATGATTTTTCAATATAATTTATATATTAATTCAAAGAATCACTTTTTACATCGGTTTGTATTTAAACCGATGTAATAGCTTACCTTTTTTTTTTTTACACACGTTTTTATGATTTATCAATATATTTTATATATTAATTCAAGCACATTTTTTACATCGGTTTTTATTTAAACCGATGTAATATATTGCTTATATTTTTTTTAACTTTTTTGTCACCTTGTTTCTTATTTACAAAAATGCCACCATGTTTTTTTCTGGAAATCTTTTACATCGGTGGATGAGATTGCCCGATGTAATAGGTGACGAAAAAAAAATTTTCCCTTATTTTTTATATCATTGGAAATAAATACCTGATGTAAAAAGTTTGTTAACTGTATTTTTTACATCACCTATTTTGATACCCGATGTAAAAACCTTTTCTCAAATGTCTTTTTTTTAGTAGTGTGACCTTGTTTCTTACAACTTATCCATTCTCATTGAGCTCGTTTATGAAAACCCATTTAGTTCTAATAACATGAGTTTCTTTGGGTCTAGGCATAAGCACAAGATCCCGCACATCATTCCTGGATAATTTATTAAGTTCTTCTTGCGATGCTAGAATCCACTTTGTGTCCATAAAAGCTTCATCAACCGATGGAGGTTTTATAAGGGACATCAAACCCATACACATACCTTTAGAAGGTTTCAATGAGGATTTGATTACAAGTGGATTAGTCTTGTCACAAGAATTAATTCTTTAGAACAATGAGATCTTTTTATGTACTTCCTCTGAGGCGTCTGCACTTTAACAACTTCTAGTTAAACATCATTAGAATCCTTTGTCTCGGGTTCTTTAGCAACAACTTCTTCACCTTCAGAGCCTAAGTAGGCGATCTCTAAAATGACAAATTTCTCAACTAACTTTGACTTTTTAGGTTCAAGCTTATCATCAAATATAACATGAATTAACTCTTCAATAATATGAGTTTCTATGTTATATACTCTATAGACTTTTGACATTTCAGAGTATTCTAACATTAAACACTTTTGTGCTTTAGAATCAAACTTGGTGTGATTTTCCTTAGTGTTCAGAATAAATAAATTACATCCAAAAGTATGAAAATATGAAATGTTGGGTTTTCTTTTCTTCCACAATTCATATGGAGTCTTATTCAGAATAGGTCTTATGAAGGTCCTGCTCTAGATATAACATGTTGTGCTAACTTCCTTAGCCCATAAGTGCTTAGCCATGTTAGTCTCTTTGATCATGGTTCAGGAATTTCTTACAAAGTCCTATTCTTCCTCTCTACAACTCCAATTTGTTGTGGAGTTCTAGGGCCGAAGAAATCATCAAAAATGCCATTTTCAATAAAAAGTTTTTCAAAAATCTTATTATCAAACTCACCATCATGATCACTTATGACTTTAACAATTTTAACATTCTTATCATTTTGCACTTGTGAGTATAAGGTAGAGAACACAATATTTGACTCGTCCTTGTGTCTATTAAACTTAACCCATTTCCATCTGTTATAGTCATCAACGACGACTAAACCATATTTCTTGCCAGTGACTAAAGTAGTTTCCATTGGTCCAAAAAGGCCAATATGTAAAAGTTACATAGGTTTAGAGGTAGAAATAAAATTCTTTGGTTTGAAAGAAGTTTTTTAAAACTTTCCTTTCTCACATGATTCACAAAGAGCATTTGAAGAAAACTTCATATTTGAAAGGCCTATGATTAAATCAAGCTTATTTAGTTGGGAAAGCTTTCTCATGTTAAAATGGCCCAATCGTCTATGTCATACCCATTACTCGTCATTAACAGACATTTAACATTTAACATTTTTTCTTTTAAATCAAAAGACTAATTTTATAACTATTATTCTTCCTCCTTCCGTTGAAAATAATGGAGCCATCATTTTGACTAACAACTTTACATGACTTTTGATCAAAGATTATATCATAATCATTGTCACTTAATTATCGTGTGGACAATGAATTATGAATTAATCCATTAACAAGTAAAACATTAGTAATACAAAGCCACCAGGCTTAAGTTCCAGGCTTTGAAACATATGCCTTCTTCCTGTCATGTGTCGCGAGAACATAGAGTCTAGGTATCATGACTAGTTCTTTAACTTGGCTGCTAAAGAGGTCTGCAAAATAGATAATCTTATCCTAAGGTGCCCATATTCTTTTGGCTTCTTTATTATTAATTCTCCCAAAGTTCTTAGGGAATTAGGGTTTCTATGCAGAATAATCATGTTTTGTATATAAATTAGAGACTTGGGAATAAAGATATTTTGGTTTGGACATTGGTTTTGAAATAGGTTTTTCTTTAGGCATATAACAAATAATGCTTGTTCTATTTCTGCTAACTTCATAGATCATTGAAGCCATTTTACTTCTATATATGTTTGTAGCCATAAATGTTTGAAAGTATTTTTCACAATTCTTTATGAAATTCTCTAAATGTATAGAAGCTTCTGAAAGAATTTTCCCTAAATTTTAGAACTCTTTCTTTTTAGGGAAGAGTTGTCATTCTTAAGAATAGAATTTTATTCATTTAAAATGGAGAATTATTTCCTAAGATTATTGTGTGCTTCAGATTCAGATACATGGACTTGTTTCAGATCCTTATATTTGTTCTAAAGTTTTTGATGATTTTCTAGAATTTCCAGAATGAGATAAATTATGAAATACCTCTTCAGAGTCTGATTCTGATTCTGATTCTAATTCTGATCGAATCTTCTCATCAGATGGTTTTATGCTTTCCATCAACACCACATTTGCTTGCTCTTCCTCAGAATCATCTTTAGAAGAATCAAAATCATGTGAAGTAGCCATCAACCCTTTCTTATTTCCGTTGAAGACTTTATTCTTGGGATTGTCCTTTCTGAGCTTGGGACATTCGTTCTTGTAGTGACATGGCTCCTTGCATTCAAAGCACATGATGTATTTGCTGGCACCTGGCTTCTTCTATCCAGAAGTAGATTCATAGAGACCACATTTGCTTCTTGATCCTATGAATTTTCCTTGTCTTTTATTAAAGAGTTGATTAACTTTTATGGAGAGAAGAGATAACTTATCTTATTCTTCTTCTTCAGAATCTTCTTCCTCTTCAGCTTGAAAGGCTCTGGTCTTTTAAGACCTTCCCATAATTTCAGAGCCACATATTTTCCTTTTCTTTGAGGCTCATCTTCTTCAAGCTCTATCTCATGACTTCTAAAAAACTAATAAGTTCCTCAAGAGAAGTTGTGTTCATATCCTTGGACAACTTCAATCCAGTTGTTGCAACGGGTTTTTAAACTAGAGAGTCGTCGCCCTTAATTTTTATACTAAAGGAAGGGAGTATAAAGGAATAACCCTAAAGTTCAAAGATTCTAGATTTGGACTCGGTTTTAGACGAGGGGAATCTGTTAGGCACCCCTTATCTACCTTGTTTACAAGGATACTAGGTTTAGAAGCGCGTTCTTAAGAAATAGGGTTTTGTATAATTATTGGGGGAAATGGATTTTAATTTTAGTTAGCGGGAAAAAAGGTTTGAAATTTAGATAGGGGGACTCGCAACGATTTTTGATCGTATGCCTACGTATCCTGTTAGGAGGAATCAGAGTCCTATTTTGTAGTTCACGGGGTTGTTTGTATTTTTTATGGATTGTGAAATATATTTGAATTTCCCGCATACATGGTTTAAGAATGTGAATAGCAGGGTTTGTTAGACCAAGTACGCTGTTAATTTAAATATATTCACGTTCCTTTTCGAAAATTAATTGTTTGAATTAATTTAATTTGAGAAAAAAGATTTGATGTTTAGTTGAATATTTTTTTTTACGTAGAGCGAGGGAGTCTTATGTAGTCTCCTCCTCACGTGACCATATATTGTCCACATGTCGCTCGCGGATGGTGAATTTGGTGAATTGTGTGGATTTTAATCGTTTGATTTAAAATAATTAATTGGTAAACGTAAGTCGACCACTTAAATACTAGAGGATGCACATTTATCATTTATAAAAGGTTTGAGTTAATTTGATTCGAAAAATTGTTTGATTTGCGTAGATTGTGAATTATTAAATAATTAAGCTAACTAAATAAAATACATTTTTTATTGGATTTTTATATTTGAAATAAAACAAACTTTAATGTAAAACTAAATCAAATAAATAAATAAATAAACTAAGCTAAAAAAAATAAGATGATTACATAAAATAGAGAAGAAAAAAACTAAATTGTGCAAGTACAAGAGAAAAGAGGTGTCTATAGCGTTAGAATAGTCTAAGAGTTCAAACACCAACTAACTCCAATTTTCAATATATTAAAATTATAAATAAAAAATAAAAAATAAAAAAGAGAACCCGTTTGTAGAATGGGCACCGCTTAAGTGCCTTTGTCAATGAATGAGTTCCATTTTGACTTTTCAAAGTACCACCAATTGCTATTTCTTTCACTCTGGTCTTTCTATATCTCTAAACTTTTTCTTTTTCCTTTTCTTAAATTCCTCTCATTCTTCCTTGCAAATAAAAACAAAAAAATAAATTAAACTCAACAAGAGAAATAATAAGAGACAAAAACCGGCGGCGATTGAGACGGTGGAAAGCGGTGGCAGTACTGGAGTGGTGTGGGTAAGTTGCGGCCGACCGCAGATGTTGCGATGACGATGGAGGAGTTGTTGTTACGTGCTGATCGCTAGCGCGACAGGGAGTTGACGACGCGGTACAATGATGTTCCTTCTCTTTTCTTTCTTTCTTTTCTTCCTTTTTCTGTATTGTAACAGTTTGCTTATGTCCTATGTAATGTTGTTTTTGTTTATTGTCCCCCCTCTTACTGTAATTTAGGTTTTTATAGCAATCGTTGGGAAATTTGTTTTAGGAGATATTTTAATTTGTCTATAATTTTGGGTATATGATTCCAAATTGTTTCTGCTTCTGGTTTTATTCCATATTGATGAAGATTTGTAATTAGTACTTTGAATGTTAATAAAATTGATTTTGGTTTGAGTTGATTCTGTCTTGTTTTGAGATTTTGATATCAAAATGTGATGAGATATGATTTGAACACTTCATCTTGATTGGATCTATTTTGTTGTTATGTTTATGGAATGTATGTTAAGATTTTGGAAAAGAAAGAGAGATTGATGAAGGAAAAGGATGATTCATCCATGGAGTTGTTCAATATGAGGAGGAATGGAGGTGCAACTAGTTAAGTACACTTAGTATGTATTGGACATATAGTCACATCCAATTAAAAGTCTTAAGATGTATTATGATAAACTTTTGATTTATTGTGTGAATTCAAAAAATTTCTTTTTCATAAAATTTCTTTTTCGATAGCATTACAACTTTTTCCTTTTTTAATTCAGAATCAGAAGGCAGAGGGGGGAATTGAGTTTCAATGGGACCATAAGATCTTTGATCATATTTATAGATTATTCGTTTTTCTTCTAATTCGTTGAAAACATGAAATTGGAACAAAACTAAATAACTCTGTTTATTAATTTTGTAGTAGGATTGAGCATTAAGGTTGCTATCAAGCCGAAATTTAGAATCACGCCGTCGGTAAAGTTCACTCGCTTTGGTAGTTCTTTCTTTTACTATTATTGTGAAAATGTATTTATACAAATAATTGTGTGGAGGTTCCCCAACACAAATAACTATTCCATATAGCTAACAGTTCAATAAGGATTGGAGTTTGTGGGGTTGTGACAATTTATTTATAGTGAAACATGTTTTGTACTAGGTTAATGGTTACCAATGTGGAATTCACCCTATATACGTACGTCAAAAGCTTAATTAATTACTTTTACTTCACTATATACTGTGAACGAAACTATACCAAATTTGAAGATAGAGTCAATTACAAGTGTTTTATGTCACTAACTCGACAAATACGAAATAATTTATAATACTTTTATCTAATAATGTGATTGATGATATCAGTGTAGATTAAGGTGATATTGATGTTGAGAATGAGTCATATGTTAGAGGGAATGTGTGATCGGTGGAAATAGAACTGACAGTTTTTTAATGCTGGTTCGCGAAATGTCGCGGTAAGCAAGAGTCGCCACCGTCTTTTATTTTCTCCAACAAGGAAAGGACAAAAACACAGCAAAATTTCTTTTCGAGATGTTTCTCGGTTCGGGAGGTAGATTATAGAAAGGGAAGGTGTTAGCACCCTTTCTATCTGTGGTTATCCACGGGCTCTTAGGTACTTGCTCACTATGTTTTCAAAAGATTTTTTCTTTTTCTTGTGTTTGTGGGTTTTAAAAAAGTTTGTTTGAAAACTTCGATTTAACTCTTGTATCTGTCCTCAAGAGTGTATGAAGTGTTGTTTGAAAACTTTTGTCAGAAAAGTGTAGGTGCGAAAAGTATTTTTTTGTTTTGAAAGAGCAAGTACCTGAGAACCTCTACCTACTCAAAAGAAATCAAGCTGTGTAAATGTCCTTTAGACAGTACTATCCCACTATTGAGAAGTAGGTAGCACCATCGTTGGAGTTTTCGGGTCAATTCGATTATAGGGACATGTGGTCACTAAAGCAATAGTAGGATGCCTTAGCGGTAACCCTAATGTCTTAGATCATTTTTTATCGAGGCAACCGTTTCGAGGCAACTTGGATCTTTAGACAAGAGGGAGACCTCTAAAACACCCTATACTCAATGACCACGTCGAGGAAACCAAGTGATGCGTACCCTAGGAGTGGCATGTGCATGTGTGTCTGGTTTCATGTTAAGTTATCTTTGTACATATTATGGTGAGCTACGTTTTGATTTTAATTTTCAGACAAGTCTTGTCATGCATAGCCTATTTATCAAACATCTAACAGTTAATAGTTGCGGGATTTAAATTGCGGAAATTAAATCTAAACTATTACAAGGCGTCGGGTATTTACATCGCCAAAAATAACCCTTGAAATTAAAATGCGGAAAGTAAAATAAAGCGATAAATAATTAAAGTCCTAATTAAAAGCTATTACATTCCGGGAAACAGTTACATCAATATGGTAAAATAGATCGCGTGCGGAAAATTAAGTCGAGCGCATTTTTTAGGGTTTTGACCCCTTTTTTTTTGAAAGAAAATATTTTTTTATTTATTTTTGGATTAAAAAGAAGTTAGATCTAAGTTAATAATTAAATTAATAAACTAATTAATTAGTTAAAATATTTTTAGATTTTTGAGTTTTTAAAGAAATAAAATAAATTGAATTAATGCTAATAAAAACCTAATATTCTAAATTGATTTTAAATATTGCAAAAAATATTAAAAGTTAAATCTAATTAAAGCTAAATTGATTAAATTAATTTATTTACAAAAATAAAAGTGATGAAGTTAATTTTAATAAATAAAATATTTTTTCGTGTTTTTGATTTTATTAGGAAAAATGTTCATTGGTTAGTGATTAATAAAAAGAATAACGATTAATTAATTAAAGAAAAATAATAAAAATAGAGAGAGAGTTTAGGAGTATACGAGCCTGATTGGAGGGGTGAAACAACTATTGGCGTCATGTGTAAACTGTTTTGTTTTGGCCATTTATATTTTGGCTTTTGGCCATTTGTGTTCTGGCTTTTGGCCATTTGTGTTCTGGCCTCAACGTTCCTTAACCTTCTCAGGATGTCTGTCTCGCCATGTATTGGTGTCATGTGTAAGCTGTTCTGTCTTGACCGTTTGTGTTTTGCCTTTTGGCCATTTGTGTTTTGGCCTCAACGTTCCTTAATGAACCTGCATGGGATCCTGTATAAATCTGCAGTGTTGAATCTCATGAACACATTAAATAAATTACTATATATCATAAAATACAAATAAAGCCAATATATGAAGAAACTTAATGTTTAGGCCCAATATGGCATGTATGAATGATTATACCCTTTTGATCATGGAGATCAAATCAATCTTACCCTTACTGGAAAAGTAGTGACATGAATGCTTTTATGCCCTTTTGATCATGGAGATCAAGTCAGCCTTACCCTTACTGAAGAAGTAGTGAGATGTTGGTTTGTAACTGAGATGACTTGTTTGTAGTGAGAGAGGGATTTGTAATAAGGATTTCAAGGTTTTAGGGTTTTTGAAAGAATTTGATATTCTGACAGTGTTGTGGCAAGGTTTTTTTTCCCTCTGGTTTGTGTGAAAAGAATGTGATTATATAATAGAAATTAGAGTAAAAAAAAATGGGCTTTGAATGTTCAATTGGGCCTCCAATGTTCACTTGAGTTCGTCACTTTCCAGGCTAAATCGCAGGGACTTAAGTGCAATTTTTGAAGTTGAAATGTGAAAAGAAAATGTAGCCGAAATCAATAACTAACTCTTGTCCGAAAATCGGCTCAATCGGATAAACGGTGAATTAGTTATGAATTTTTGAAGTTTCAGCTCAGACAAACTTATTTTGGGCTCCAGTGTCGACTCTGACACGTTCTTCAATAAAAAACTGGTATTGATCGGAGCATAATCCGGTCTCGACTTTTGAAGAAAAGTTGTAGATATATGAGTCAGTGACCTTGTGTAAAAATATGAGCCCAATCCGATAACAATTGACCGAGTTATGAATTTTCGAAGTTTCGGCCCAGATGAAATAATATTCAGCATTCAGGATTTTCGGCGCATCATGCACTCTGAGCAAAAAACGAAGGCCTTTTGAATACTTTTTGAACTCAATACCTTCTTTGAAAATATAGCCAACTCAATTTGTGAAATTTTGGCGCCAGAACCAGCTCGATACGATGAAAATCGACCAAGTTATGATTTTCTAAACATGACGCAAATAAACTTCTGTCACAAATTTTCTGTACGAAAATACTTGATAAATCTACATTTTTGAAGACCTTCTGATCGAAATTGGCTTCCAGCCGTGAGAGATGAAAACATAGATAATGTCAAGACGGAATTTTGGCCACCGGAACGGGTTCAAAACGAGCCACGATCTTCAAGTTATGAATTTTTTAGCGCGTAAAAACTGCACTTTCAGCATACTTTTTCACCATATTTCTTCGGGAAAACTCACACATTCGGATACCTTCTTTAAAGAATTGACTCTTGAGTCGAACCTGAATTTTAGAATACGTTAACAGAGATATCTTGGCGAAAGAACACCTGAATATGACGCGCTGGGTTGGACTTGTGAATTTTTCTTGAAATGTTTTGAGAAATATGGGAGGGCAAATTTTGGGGTACAACTGTTGCCCCTGTTCAATCTTCTTAGACCTGAGGATATAGATTGGCTTGCGTGCCTTTCGTGATCCGAAGGTGGAAGATGATTGAACACTAAAGTGCCCAGAAATTTGCACTCGCATGGAGTAGTATCAGCGTTGTGATGTCGGGAATGGGCTTACAGATGCCATTTGGAGAGATGATGGATAGGAGGATGGGCTTATAGATGCCACCTGGAGATTGTTGGTTGAATTGTAATTTTGTAAGTTTAAAGAGGGAACCTGTGTAGGGTCGCCTGATGATGAGCCCGTGTAAAACTGCATCTTGGAAGGAAGGAACCTGTGTAGGGTTGCTTGATGATGAGCCTGTGTGAAACTGCATCTGAACCGGGAAGAAACCTATGTAAGGTTGCTTTGCAAGGAGTTTGGGTAAAACTACGTCGGGAAAGTGTAAGGAGGAACCTGGGTAAGGTTACTTCGGGATAAGTTTGTGTAAAACCTCTGGAGGAACCTGGGTAAGGTTACCTTGTGATAAGTCCGTGTAAAAATCCCGCTCTTCTCGCAGTTGCGACCAAGATCTCTTCAATGTCTCATAATCAGTAGGTATCTGAGGAGGAAGGACAGTTGGAGGAACACCATCTTTGTCAGGACACTCAAGAATGACGGGTCTGACAGCTTCATACGGCATACCTAACTTCTGAGCACGGATGCGAACCCATTTGTAGTAGGCTTCCATAGGTAAAGAAGTCTTTGGCCCTAACTCTTGTGGGTCAGCTTTATGAACCTTGTCCCAAGCCTTGATGAACCTACGACGTAGCTCGTCACTATCCACCTGAAATTCAAAACTGATGTGAGGCACTAACATCTCATGGGGACCTGCTCTTCTTGCTCTTCCAAACTGACGGAGTGCTAGACATGGATTGTAAGAGATCCCTCCTTGGGTACCAATCAGAGGAACATTAGGGTATTCCCCGCATCGATCAATAATAGCTATCTCATCCAAACCTCTGCAAGTCCAAATGATGTCTTTATCGGTGAGAGACATTAACCTATGAGCCCAACCTCTTCCTTCTTGATTCTTCAGTACGAACTTAGGGAGGTGCGAAATAAACCACCTCACCAACAAAGGGATACAACACCATAGGGTTCCTCGTCTTCGGGTAGTACGGGCATGAAGTTGTTGCAAGATGTCACCCAAGAGAGTGGGCACAGGATTCTGAGACATAAAGATCCTTATGGCAGTGATATTGATGAAGTTGTCAGGATTAGGAAACAGGACTAACCCATAGATTAGGAGAGCCAAGATGTCTTCATATGCCCTAAAGTCCAGGTCACTCCAGAAACTGTTAGCTTTACCAATCAGAAACTTGGCCAAGAAACC